GCGTCTGAGAAGCTGTGCAGCACAGCGCAAGCTCGCGGGATCTCTAGTTAACACTCAGATTCAGTGTTAACACTTAACAGAACAGTGGTGAGCCCTGTTGCCAAGGTCAACAGCACAGATGCACTAATTGTATTATGAGCTTGACATCTAGTGGCCACCCCTGGCAGGGCAAAGCAGGCAAAGGTTAAATCAGCAAGGCTTGTCAAAGCACTTCTAACTACCCACCTTCAGGGAGAGACCGTCGGAAGCTGGCCAGCACTCTGCAACCCCACCTTTTCAGACATCAGACAAAAAGGCTTTCTGTGCCGAGCTGGCTGCTAATGCTCGCAGAGAATGCAAAGGGGGTAGGGATTTTAGATAGTAAGCATAACTAATCTGAAGGTGATTGAAAAAGACAGGCCCACAGAGGAAAATATTTAGATGCCACACTGGCATTATTGGATCCCCTTGGTGGACACCGTCTCAGTCTCGAGAACTCTTCCCTTTAATTAAGAAACAAATCAATCTTCATCTCTAACATAGAGACCATTCCATTATTTTATTACAATTAATATTTTATACTTTCTGGAACATGACTGGCCTGGTTTGCTTGGAAATCAGTTAGCTGCATTTTAAATCATAAATGTGTTGAAATTGCACGAGAAATAACCCTAGACAGGTTTTTTAAAAGTTTACTGGAATATTAAATTGCTCCATTTTTACATACATTTTGTTTCATTGTGTTTGAAATGTGTAGTAGTAATTAAGGTGTGCTGTAATTACAAACCTGTCCTTCCAAGACTAAAACATGTTGGTCATATTCTGGCAACTGTTCAACAAATCATGTAGGAAAATAAAAACTAATAAAAACAAAAGTCATTCCTCTTATATTTAGAAGTTATGCTTCTTGAAACTATCTGGCAGCACTGAAAGACGGTGCACATCCTCATTAGAAGTGAAAAAGATTTTCATTGTACTTAAATACAAGCCAGTGCCAATACCTGTAAGAAGGCTAAATTCCAACGAATGGTCAGCACGCAGAATAGAAACCCCGGTTGTGCTTTTGCTGAATTCCCCCCAAAAGAAAATATTCTTCGGGCTACCTGGAGATGAATGGTACAGCTTTTGTAGAGATTGCAGTTGGAAATGAAATTTGACCCACTTTGGCCATCATCTTGTATACAAAAAAGAATCAGCTTGCTAAGTAATTCCTGCTGTTACTCCATACCTTTTTCTGGCTTTGAACAACAGATCTAAAAACACTGGATAATGCATATGCCATGGAAGCTGAAAATGTATTGCACATAAAATTCCCACACTGTTACATATTCAGCTCTCTCTAAGGTGGGAATTAATTGGCATGCTTTTTTGTTGATCACAGAAACGTGCATTTTAAAATAGGTTAAGTTTTTTAATGTTGTTTTTAAAAGAAATGTTTGCAAAGTCTTCTTTTCCTCTCCCCTCACCCAACCCGGTTACTTACTTTTTACCTTTCATGTTTCAGAGAAAGCAATCGGCCTGTGAATGTTAGAAAGTGGCTCCTGCATTGTTCCTTTTGGTATGCTGAATTGTAAATGTGTGTAGTGTGCTGGGCGAGCACTGAGGGCAAACCATGCATATACAGATAAAAGAAAAAGATCCTGCGCCAAGCACTGGTGGCCGAGCTTCTCTCCCTTAATTCAAACACAGTCTGTGAATACCACTGGTAAATTCTTAAATCACATGCTCAACACATTTAAAAGGATTTTTAAGACAGCCATATACTTCTAAGTTGGCAGAAAAAGGAAACACACACTTTGAAGCAATTAGTGCTAACAAACAAAATACAGGATGGTAAATGGTTTTAAATTATAATATCCTTTTGTTCCTTCTTAAAATACATATATTCTAACAATAAAATACATTTCTTCAATTATATTTTATTACAATAAAGAATAGCAATATTGTATCTTTTAAAGTTCTTAGTGGGCATATAACTGTCATTGGAAGTTTTAATTAATTTTTCTTAGAACAAAAATATTCAGCTGGCTCACAGGATTACTAGTGGTGCAAAGTTAACTGGATCCCAAAGTTGCAGCACCTTTTCTTCTAAAATAGGAATGAGATCATTTGCAAGTAAGTAATTTTAAAAAACAATTTCTGTTAAGAATGTCTCAATATTTTTTTTTTTTTTTTTTTTTTTACAAAAGGATGACTTTTAGAACTTTACATAAATTATCCTTACTTTTTCTCATTCTAGACACGTCATGTTTAATTCCCGTAGTGATAAAGTTTGGGTAGCACCAGTTATTTTTGCATAGAATCTTTTCATTGCTTCAAAAATAAATCATAATTCTTTTTTAAGAGATACAGGCTTTGTGCTGTAAATTAATGTGACTGCATCTCTGTCCCCCATTATACTAAACATTTTTGCATATAATATTTGTTCTGCATGACATTATCAGTAGCTTTCCATTCTACTGCATGTAGATGGACCTGCTGCTTTAATTAATATGTCACTCCCCGAGTGATACAAAGGAATTATTTACCTCGTTTCTAAAACACTAAACTAACTCAGCTCACTTGTAACTTCCGGCACGGTCTGTTTATTTCCATTGCATTTAACAAAATTAAAATTCTGAAGAGATCTGATTCAGGTTGGAGTAATTTGGTTTCCACACCCATTTATCTTTTAAAAATTTTTACTTAGTTATCTTAGGAACGATGGTGAGTGCGACCGAGTAATACACAAATGGGGCATTCCTTGACTTAACACGGAACAGAGTGTCTGTTATGCTCCTTGAACAAGCTGCTTCGAATATAATTAAATGAGAAAGAACTTTAAAAAAATAGTTTGCCTAAACTATCTCAAACCAGCATGGAAACCGCTCCACCAAGACTCAGCCCCAGACCGTATTTCGGGCCTGTTGCAAAATATCACTAGGAACTGTGGCAACGTCTGGATTACAACTCTGGATGTTGTAAAAAACACAGGCTTGACAAGAACTTTAATTCTACCATGGGTAAAAAACCTGAATATTTTGCATCTCTAAATAAATTCGAGCAGCAACAAGAGGAATTCAAAGTAGAACTTGTGAATAATTTATCCCATCTTAGGCTTTCAAATATAGGCGATATAGCCCTCCACATGTTTACACTATTAAGTTCAGCATGCTCACATTTCTGAAGTGAAATTAAAAATGAATAGCAGTGCCTCAGCTTGTTAATTGTTAAATACAAGGGGGTTTACTCTATTAATTAAAATATGCTTTAATAAAAGGAGACATTGCACATTTTGATAACGACCCTACAAAGCTGAGAAGTATTTACATTGTTGCATTTTGGGGCGGCTGTGAAAGCCGATTTTAAGCTATTCAGGAGCCACAATAATAAAGCTTTAAAATTCCTCACTGGGATGCAATGTAGTTCTTTTGAAGGAAAGACTGTCTTTCTCATTCGGCAGAAATAAATCCATTCATTTGATCATGTAGTCATTGAGGGCGATACAAAACAAACCAAGTGTGAGAAATTCTATGTGATGAAGTAAACAAAACAAAAAAAAATCCATTTCCATGACAAAAAGATTCTTTGTCCTTAATCTACCCACCATATGCAAGCGTTTCTTTTTAGCATATCGCCTGTTCTAATCTTGGCTGACTTGGCTACACAGATAAGACTCCCTTACCTCCACGGCAACAAAAAGACCCCAGCGAGCTCACTAATTTTATTTAATTCATTAATTCTCCAGCCGCGTCAGAAGCATGCTCTCTCGTTCTCATCCGACATGGGTGTCTACCTGCTTTGTCAAACTTTACTCCACTGGGTGGGAAACTCTTCCGCCCCGTTTCCTTTTCGCAGACAGTCTCATTCTCAGAGTAAAAAGATCACCATCTGCCTCCGACAACTTGTAATAGGTCAATCATAAAAGTTGGCCTGCCTATTTTTTTTAAGGAGCAAATTATTTTACTGCGAGCTGTGCTGCAGGCTCGGGGTCGCGGGGCCGCCCCTCCTCGGCCCTCCATCCTGGCGCCCTGGGGGCCCCGCGGGGCGCGCCGAAGCCTGGGCGCCGCGGGCCGAGGTTTTAACTCGACGAAGGGGGTGGGGGCGCCCCAAACTCTGCGGGGAAAGGGGGCCACTCTGGAAAGTCCAGCCCTCCGCCAGTCTCTAACTTTCACGGCGCCTGCCCTTCGCTTTCGGATGTTTCGAAGAGGAAGCTCCTACCAGCGAAATGACTGCCAAGGCGTCTCCAGCGCCCGGCCTCGGCGGATCCAAAAAGACGAGAGAGAAAAGGCCCGCGCGGTCCCTGCAATGAACGCCCCGGAAACACGCCGGGGTTCTGCCGCAAGCAGGGGCCAGGCCCAGGCCGCCGCCGCCGCCGCGCTCACCCCCAGCTTAATTCCCCAGGCGGCCATTAGGCAGGGCCGAGCCCCCGACCTTCTCCTGGCCTCGCCAGATCACAGGCTGCGTCAACGCGCTGGGACACCGCGGGTCACCCGAGGCGGTGCGGGGGGCCGGGGGCACAGGCGGGGCCGGGGAGGTGGCGCGGGCCCCCGAGGCGCCGAACAAAGCTGGCCGGGCGGCGGCGTCCCCGACCCGCGTCCAGCGGTAAGTGGGCTCCGGTTGCCTACCCCGCCGCCGCGCTCGCCCCGGGGTCGCCGAGGCCGGCCCCAGCGCCCTGGCGCAGAGACCCCGGGGGGCGGCGCGGAGGCGGAGGCACCGTGGACTCCCTCCCGCTCCGGCCTTCGAGCCGTCCGCAAGCCGGCCGCGGCCTCGGCGCCCTCCGCGGGCAGCTCCCCGACTCCGAGGAGAGGAGCCAAGTTTACTTCGCCCACAACTCTCTCCGCGGTCGCGCGCGCTCCGGCGGAGTACCCGGGTCCCCGCGGCCGGCCTGGCGCGGGACGGACACTTGCTCGCGGGAAGAAGGGAACTTTCTCCCGCTCCCGGACGCACGCAGCCGCTCCCGCCGCACGCGCTTCCCCAGCCCGGGTGGGCAGCCCCAGACCCCCCAGACCCCCCGGCCACCCCGCAGCCCCGGCCCTCACCGTGCTCGGGAGCCCCGTCCGGCGGCGGCAGCTCCTCGTCCGACTTGAGGTGCTGGGGCTTGGCCTGCTTGCGCCGAGACATGCTGCTAGCGGCGCTCGGGCCCCGCGCGGGGCAGCGGCATCAGCGGGGCGGCCGGCGGGGACGGCGCGGGGCGGGCGCGGGGCGGCCGGGTGGGCGCGGGGCGCGGGGCGGCGGCGGCGGCGGCTGCGCGGGCCGCGCATGGGGCTGAGCAATTAGGCTGGTGAATAATGCATGGCCATTAGCGGAGGGCCGCGCCGATTGGCCGGGCTCCAGCGGACTCCGGCGGCCTATGCAAATGAGGCCGCGCTCGCAATTAGCGGCCGCGCCGGCGAGGAGGGGGCCGCGGCGCCTCGGGACCGGGGCGCGCGCTGCCCGGCACCGCCTCACATCGCGGGCTCCAGGCGCCGCGCTCCTCGACCGCCCCCGGTGCGGCTCTGGCGGGGCCCGGGTGCGGCGCGGGCCGCGGTGGCCGCCCCTCCGCAGGGCGCAGGCAGCAAACTTTGGCGGCGTCCGCGCGGCGCCGTCTCCGCCGGCGCGCCGGGCTCGCCCCTTTATAGAGTGTCTGCGCCGCCGCCCGCGCCCCCCCCGCCGCCGCCGGGCGGCCCCTCCCGGAGCGAGCGGCCGCGGGCAGGGCTCCGACCCGGCGCCTTTGTCTCGCCCGGGCTGCTCGGGCGCCGGGCCTCCTGCTCCGGGCGCGCGGGGTCGGCCGGCCGCCTTCACTGCTCCGCCGCGGTTCTCGGCGCAGCTCAGCGCGGCGGGCCCGCTCGGGCTCAGGTGCCCCCGCTCTCCGGACCTTCTCGCCCGGCCCCGCGTCCCCTCCGCGGGCTTCCCCCGGCGGCCGGCCGGGCTCGGAGGCTCGCGGCCGGAGCGGAGCGGAGTGCGCACGCCGGGGTGGCAGGACTTCGGCAAGACCAACTTTCCGGTTCGGAAGCGGCGCGGGCCGCGCGGCTCCTCCCCTCCTTTCCCTCCCCTGCGTGCCCCCTCCCTTTCACTCCCTCCTCTCCCCGCCCCCCATCCCGCGGGCCCCACCGACTCCGGAGCGCCCGCCCCGCCCGCTGCCGCCACCGGGGCCGCCTCGCCCCCGCGCCAGCCCGCCGGAGCCTCTGCGCCGCCGTCGGCTTCTTAAATGCAGGAAAGGGAGGGGACCGCAGGACCCCGGTGTCCCCACCCTAGTCCCCCTTCCCCACGGGCCTCCGGGCGCCAGCGGAGTGGGCAGCGAGCGCGACCGAAAGTTCCAACTCCACCAAAGTCCTGCGCGCGGCCCACCCCGTTCCCGGATTTCGGGGATGACACGGGGGCCAGGTGAGGGGGTTGCGCACTTTTGGATCGGCCCCACACTCTGGGGCAGCTGGCGCGGCGCGCTCCCCGCACACGCGCCCGCCCCCTCTCCCGCGGTCGCACGCACGCGCCCTCGCCCTCGCCCCGCGCGCACAGGCGCGCACTCCCACTCGCGGCCGTGCACCCGCCTCGCGCCCTCCCCCGCGTGTCCTCTCTCCCCGGGCGGCCGCCAGGATGTGCCCCAGGCCCAGTAGCCGCCGCGCCCGCGCCCTTCGCCCCAGTACGTCTTTTTTCATTTCCTAAATTTCTTATTTTTGTCCTTGCAAGTGGCCCTGTCTGATGTGAAGCGTCAGCACGGATGGCCTCCTGGAGCTTCCCCGTCTTTCGCTGGGGGAAGCGGGCGGTGAGCGGCCGGCCCGGGGCGCTCCGCGGGCCGCGAGCTCCTGGCAGGGCTGGTGGCGGGGGTCCGCCTGGGGGAGGAATCTCCGCCTGCTCCATCGGACCCGGCCTGGCGCGGCTCGCGGCGCTCGGCGGGCTGCCTTCCATTCTAGAATCTTCCCGCTTGCTTCCCAGCCCGAGTTCTCCCGCCCGCCTTTAATTGTGTAAGTTTGACGAAGTCAGAGCTTTGGGTTCCAGGAAAAGCGCAGGAGAGTCATAGAGGAAGGGAGGGCGCAGGTTGGAGTCATGTCCAAACAGCTCCTATCGCCACTTTTGAAAAATAAAAAAACCCACAAAAAACCCTTAAGGTTGGTTTTATTTTGCCTTTTGGTGGCGGGCGTATTCATTTGAATTTTTTTTTTTTCAAGACAAATAAAAGATGTTTGAAATCTCTACTTATCCCGTTTAACACACACATCGATGGTGCTTTTCTAGTTAAGCTACGGGCGAACGTCTTTATCCCGCAGTTAGGCTGCGAACTTGTGCAGATGCTCAGGCTTTGGGGGGACGCTCCGGCATCTGGCGCAGAGGCGCCCGGCGGGGAAAAGTTTGCAGCCCGGGCTTTGGGGCGCGCGGGGGGTAGGAATTTTCCGGAGAAAAGAGGGGCATAGAGAGGCGGCACGGGTGGGGAGAGAAAAAAGGAACGTAGGGGGGAGGGGGGGGGAAAAGCAGCTTGCAGGATGGGAGTTTCTTGCAGAATTTACAGGACTAAAGAGTTTGGGGAAGTCGCAGAGCCGCAGCGGAAAGGCAGGGGTCTGAGACTACTTTCGAGAGGAGAAACAACGCAAAACGATCGCTGGACGGCCAGAGCCCTGGTCGAAGGTGCCCTAGCTTTTATGACCTGGTTAATTGTGTCTCTCTTTTAATTTTTATTTTTTTCCTGACCACTACTGCTACTACTACTTCTATTTTTCTTTTAACCGACACACTTTGGGGAGAAGAAGCAGACACAGGTTCCCACAGCGTCTGACGCCTGCCGAGCAAGTCCAGAACCAGCTGGACTCGCAGCCTCTGGCTCGGCGGCACCAGCTCCCCACTGGGTCATTTTAAGCGCGCTGTGGCCACCTTTTCTGTTGCGTAAGGCCCGCTCCCCCTGTCCCGCACCCCTCTCTCCAACAAACTGGCACGATGTCTTTAGGTCTTTCTCGGGCTTCCAAATGCAACTGTTTAATTTCATCGATCTGTTTTGCATTTCCTACAAGGTGTGGACCTGGGGAGGATCTTCTAAGTCCCTCCAGCGAAGGCAAGTGTGAGACTCTGGCCCTTTATTTGTAAGAAGCAAGCCTTCAGACTGCAGAAGTGTCGCGCGGGTCGCCGTGCGTTGCGCGAGTGGGAAGATGGAGGAGGCTGGCACGGTGCTTTCGTGGACGCAAGTGAACCGGGCGTGAAGGCAGGGTGCAAGCTCTGCCCTTGGCCCAGCCCGGCGTGGGTGCCGTCCCAGATTCCGGGCGGTGCGGGGTGCAGAGATCTGGAGAGAGTTGCGGGCTCCCCAGCGCAGGCTGCTCTGGGATTTCGTTGGAAGATCCGGTAGAGCCTTGGAGGAGAGGGCCGGGGAGGCTGTGTGTGCAGCGGAAGCTTGTACGAATGCCCCCACAGCTGAAATGGTGCGCACGAGTAATTTCTGCGGCGCACCCTTTTAAACATTGACTGAAGTGAACAAGATCAATTTTTTAAAAAAGCAAAAGTAGAAAATAAAAGGCGTGAGACTTCTTGACTGGCTTGTTCCCGCCTTTCTTCCTTCCCTATACTCAGATCAGAAACTTTAATTGCTCTTATTCAGTGCGACAACTTTTAATAAAAGCGTTTGCATCTTAAGCCCGAGTTGCAACCATAGATTTATTGCGAAGTGACAACGTGTCCACGGAATATTTTCGCAGATGACACAGGACGTGCGCTCTGGTCCTGCCCAGATTAAAGGGACGCTGGGCCATGTGCCTGTGTGGGTGTAGACTCGGAGGGGCACACACCTACTCGTCATCACATGACCACTGTCTATTAATATTGTCATACCTAAACACTCGCAAAAACAAAGTTGCTTTTCTTCCCTGTAATTAAATCTAATTTGTTAATTGTCTTTCCTCTTGCAATGTTGTTTTCATCTTAAGAGGTGACACATTATTATTTTGTCTGTCTAATATTATTTACAAATTAATGCTGTATATTTTACATTAGTGAAACATATAATTAGGTGTTTGGTTCAATCGGTAACATTCAGATAAACAAAGCCTATCTGCAAGATTGATTGGAAGTGGAATAGTTGGTTCTAATTTACCATCACAGTCACAGTTTATTGAAGCTACCTGGCCCCAGATTCACAGAAGCTAGTTTTACCTAAGGTGCATTTGAAGCTTTGTTTACAAGTATTTTCCCCAACCACTTAATGCAAAAAAAAAAAAAGGTCAAATATTAGGGCTTTAATTTTCTGTCTTCTTTCACTGCTCCCCCCACCCAAAGTTCCTTTCTTCTATTCTCTGGCCACCTCTCTCCCTCTCTCTGGTTCCTCCCCCACCCCCAACTTTTGTTTTAGGTTCTTAGAGTTAAATCCAGCATGATTTTGTGCCTTTAATGCTGTGACAAGTGATTGCTAATTGGTTCTCACTTGAGCAAAGATATTACCATACTAATATTATTATTGGTAAGAAGAGGTAATTGATAACACCACCTGCCACTCTGGGGCAATCAGGATGATAAATGTTTCCATCAACAGGAAATCTGTGCTTGGTGTGCCACAGCCCAACGCAAACAGCATGTCAAGTGCCAATTATAAAGATGTTGCTTTTCTATTACATTGGGCGGGGGTGTGCTAGAAAACATGTAGCCAAAAATTATATTTATGGTTTTTTGAAAACGCTTTTTCCAACCCTCTGCCTACTTGAAGATAACTTGCCCCATAAAAATAAAACGGTTTATTTACGTAAATAAACCAGCACATAGCTAACTGCCCTGTCCACACTGGATACAACTGCTGTGACCTCCTTTGCTCTCAAAGCTATTGAGATAAATATGCCTGAATATTTTTAACAGATGCAAGCTGGGTGTGGAGTGTATCAGTCCATTTTGGTTGTGTGCTCCGAAGCCTTCCTGTGTGTTATTCCAGTACACTGTGTAGTTTCACTGTAGCCATCAGAGGCAGACATTCCGTGGCTTTTTATGGCATACACAGAAACATCCGTTCACAATCGTCTTTGCACTGAGGGATGCAAACGATGGTGAAGTACTTCTCTCCTGATGGCTGAACTGTGGCTCGGGGCTGCATGTAGACCAGGAGGGGCATTTCGGCATGTATGATTACATAAATAATGCTAGCAAGTTAAAACTTTGACTCCTTGCCTATAGGGAGGCTCAAACGATCATTATTAGCTTGCATTAATAGAT